CTACCCCGCGTCCGAGGCACTCAGGTCTCCCTGACATGTCACCTCTGCAGAGAATCTCTCCATCCCAGAGCGCCCACGTACCCTGAGTGTCTTCCCAGGAGGAGCTGTATCCTCACAGCGAGATGTGCCACAGTCTGAACTCCCGGGACTCAGAATGGGGTCTTATGTTCTCTTCTTCTTTCTTTATTGTTTTAATTTTCTCAGATGACCCAGTAATGCCCTTGCCAGGAATTTATCCAAAGAAATCCACAACACTACTTTCAAAAGACATATGCACCCTTATGTTGACCGCAGCATTATTTACAACAGCCAAGACACGGAGGCTCCCTACGCATTCATGCAAAGATGACTGGATAAAGACGCAATGGAATATTACTCGGCCCTGAAAAACGATGAAATCTTACCATTGGGGACAAACACGGATAGACCTGGAGGGTGTTGTGCCGAGCGAAATCAGTCAGACAGAGAAAGGAAAACATCAGATGATTTCACTCATTTGTAGAAAATGAAAAACAAAACAGAACAAAAACTCATAGAGACAGAGAATGTAGCGGAGGTTACGAGGTGGCAGGAAGCTGGGGGCAGCGTGAGAACTGTAATCTCCTTTTGAAAGAGGGTCTTCACAGAGGGACCGCAGGTCACTCGAGGTCACGCAGGTGAGCCCGACGCACTGCCCGGCGTCCTGGTAAGGAGCAGAGAGATCTCTGCCGTGGACAATGTTGCTGGGCTATAAGCTGCTGCCGCCACGATGGCAACCAAATTAGAACTACCTTACGACCCAGCAACTGCGCTTCTGGGGACGTACCCCAGAGAACTAAAAGCAGGATGTGGAAGACACGCGTGCTGCCCGCGTTCACTGCAGCAACATTCACGACAGCAGAGACTTGGACGTGACCTAAGCGTCCATCGATAGATGAACGGGTACAGAGTCACAATATATACACGACGAGATATTATCCAGCCAGGAAAGAGAAGGAACTTCTGCCACCTGCGACAACGTGGTGGGGCCATGAAGTCAATACGCTAAGTTCAATACGCCAGACTCAGAAAGACAGATACTCTAAGATCTCACGTATGCGTGGGATCAAAAATAACAAAACTCATGCAAACGGGAAGCACACGCGGCGGTTTGAATGACAAGGACAGTCGGGAGATGCGGGCCGAAGGGTACGAACCTTCGGTGATAGGATGACTGAGTTCTGGGGACTTAATAAATAGATAGCCAACTGGTGATGGATAATAATACTGTATTCCAGCCTCAAAATTTGCTAGGAGAGTTGATCTTAAGTGTTTTCACCATCAAAATTAAAAAAATAAAAAATAAAAAAAAAGGTCACTGTGTGTGTGCGGTGATGGATATGCTAATGAGCTTGACGGTGCTGATCAAGTCACGGTGTATATTAGAGCGTCATGCGCTGCACCTGGCAGGTCCCCCGCGGTCACCTGCCTCGGGCTGGAAGCCTAGCTCTTCGCTGATACTAAGACCAGGCGGAGGCGGCCACAGGTAACCGTATCGGCGTGAGGTGCAGCGTCTCCACTTACATTTCGAAAGCTGAGTCTCTTTCTGGCTCTGCCCTCGAGTAACGGGCAGCAGCGGTATAAATTTCCAGTTTCTCAGTAGCCTCAGGTAGCCTGACGCCTCGTCGCAGGACGAGATTCTTGCAAAAAAAAAAAAGGCCCCACCCTTCCGGGACGCAGAGAGGCATCCACTGCCAGGAGGAGCTTTGGGCTCCGTGCCGTAGATCACGTTACGACGGGAGGAACCACGTGGGTGTCACCGGGAGAAGCAGCGGGCTGTGGATTACCCGGGCCCCTGGTCTCATCTCCTTTCCCCCACTTGGCTCTTGGGGAGAAGGCAAGGTGACACCCATCGCTCTCGGTTTGCTCAAGGTTATCAGTTCCAGCCCAGCAGGGGGAGGAGACCATGGTACCCACAGAAACACAGGATTCTCTGTAACATACAGATGTCAAACGCTCCTGCGTTCTTAACCCCCACGGCCTTCTGTCCCCGAGTGGATTCTGTTCCCCCAAAAGTCCTGCCCCCCAGGGCCTGTGGACGGAAGCTGGTCTGGAAAGAGGGACATATAAATGTCACCCAGGTAAGATGAGGTCGTGCTGGATGACGACGGGACTCGGTCAATGGCTGGTGACCTTATAAGAAGAGAAAAGAAGACATCTGTCCCTCTGTCACGGGAGGACAGACTGAAAAGGAAGTCAACAAAATGGCACGAAGAAATCTCCCCCCGGAACTGAATCAGCCAGCACCCCAATCTCGGATTTCAAACCTTCGGAGCCATGAGAAATGAATTTCTTACGAGCTCATCGGTCTTACAGGACTGGGACCTCACTTTCGTGACCTCATTTAACCTTTCTTACACCCTCAAAGCGTCACCTCCAAATACAGACTCCTCGGGGGTTAGAGCTTTAATACATGAACTTGGGGGGACACGATTCAGTCCATAGCAATGGCCATGATGGTGATCGCTGTAACGTGTTGATGGTGACGACGGTGACGATGGTGATGATGATATTGATGATGGTGATGGTGATGTGACAATAATAATCATAACGATAATGATGATAACGAGAATGATAAGGATGCTGATGATGGAGATAATAAAGTGTGAAACACCTGACTAACCTCTATCTACTCAACGCTTCCTGCCTGCCAGGATGTGTTTTAAGGAAATACTTCTGAATGAGCAGACCCATCCCCCGTCACCACCAAATCCTACAGGGCGGGAATAAGTCTCCTCACGTCACAGGTGAGCAAGGCACACGGAAGCAGGGACAACCCAAGCTCGCCAGCCCAGCAGTATCATGTGTCCAACAGCACGTCGTAGGCGCCGAGTGGTCTAAGGGCTGCTCCGCGATACTCTCACCAGCAGAGGCTCACGGGAATGGAAGGACACGTGACCTGGAAGGGAGAGGGTACCGACCACCGGGCGGTTCTGGGAATGTGGCGCGATGGTGTGTTTTCTGAGTGTATATAGCGCTGTTTTTAAAACGCATTGTTCTCCTTGGAGATCACTAAATTTAGCCCCAGACCGTGGCTTTGAAAATGCTACGATAAAGAGAAACGATGAAACGTGCACCGTGCGTCTCATCAAAGATGCTATTTCAAGGTCACCCAATGGCTGATGAGGGAGAGCGTTTTTGTTTTTTAAAAAAGAAAAATTCCAGCTAAAAAACGCAGAAGGGATGACAGCAAGAAGATGACCATTTCGTCGTCTGTCGTGGGATCCTAGAGCAAGGCGATGGGTATGGGTGGAACCTACAACCATACCCATGAGGGGGACAAGAGACTGGACGGCATGGCGGGGGAGGCCGGCTGGTAACACTTGGACCCACAGATCAGCCTTCTGCACTCCACTCACGGAAGGATAAGGAGGTATTTGTTCTATGTTTCTTATTAGGATGAAAAACCAACAATAAAAACAGAGCCCTAGCGATTCACCACAAAGTAAAAAGGGAGGGAGGGAGGGAGGAAGGGACCCCGAATCTAATTCGATCCACAGACCGAACCGCCAGTTTACAAGACAGAACATCATGGACTAAATCGAACTAAGACACAAATCAGCCGAAAGCAATTTGACAATGTTGGTTAAATCCTCATGTGTAGGGGAGAAAAAGGCATTTTTGAGACATTCGGTGGGAATTTGAATATTGCCTGGGTATTAGATGATATTAAGGCGTTTTTTTTTTTTTTAAGTTTGTAAGGTGATAATGACGTCAGCGTTTTTTAAAGTGAATTATCTGTGAGAGACAGAATGGTAGTTACTTTTAAATAATTCCAAAAGCAAAAACTTGAAAGTATAGAAAGATCAAATCGGGGGTAAAGCTTTGATATCTACTGCAGTTGAGGGACCGGTACACAAGGATTTGACGCAAACTGTTCTCTTGATTTTTTTGAGCGTTCGAAAATGTTAAGGAACGATCGGAAAAGGCTGCGTTCCATGTCATGCCTCGCGAGAGGCCGGAAATGAAAATTCAAAGGATAGTTTTCAATTTAACATCTGAATGTATAAGACTTCAATAGAATAACTGCAGAAGACCCGTCACAGATGAAGACGAGCATGTCTGAAAAGGGAGGCAAAGTCCTTTCCGCGCCGAAATCAAGTTAAGCGTCTGAGCAGCTTCCTTTGATCGTTTTAGAAAACCAACCGTAGATCTAGTTTGTCCCTAAATCTTTTATAAATCTTTTAAGAGAGGTTTGTGCTTAATAGGAAGTGTGCGTGCACAACGGTCTAATACGACAATAAGATATATCGCTATCAGAAAAAAGAGACTTTCGCATAATCAGAAGAGAAAAGCATCTAGAAAAAGCATCACAAATGGGGTCGCCGTGTGAGAATGAGGCGCCCCCTTAATCACAGCGTGCTTCAATGCGCCCTACCCCACGCGAGACAAAACACGCGACAAACACGCGTCTCTGGGTCACACGTTCGAGCACAGCGTGGAGCACGAAGTCTGCGTTTTGTTCCCTGTATTTTCCAGCGATCCCCGGGGACTTTGGCGAATTTCTTTCCATTTCTGTGCCCAAGTCCTGAGTGTCGTCTGAATCCTGAGCCAGAGGAGGGGCCGGAGACCCGCCCATGGGCACCGGCCTCACCTGAGCTGCCCGAAGCCCAAGCCGCGGGGAACGGATGGAAACGGGGGGAAAAAGAACAGAAACGTGTAGATTTTCTCCGGCTCCACGACCCGCGACTGCGAAGAGAGAGTCTCCGTAAACGCCGTTCATCGTGCCGCTGACGAGATGTTCTTCCCCAGCCTCGACCCTGTTCAATTCACTACACGAACGGCTGGACGTGCTCTACCGAACCGAGTCCATCTCCTTAATCTTACGTGGACGTAATGGATGGGCTGGCGAGGAACAGAGTTTGCCGAACTTGTGATCGAGGGAACATGTGAAACATTTTATTTCTGGTCCCAAATAAAATGAATTAAAAATAACGAAAGGGGAGGTCCGAGACCGCGTGCCGCCAGCAGGAGGCAGCGCCCTTATGCTGAAAGAACTTGAAAAAAATACGAAGGTCTTCACTGCTCTACGGAATAGACCGTCACTATCACGCGTGAAATTCTGATTATGGAAAAATCTCATTTTTCTGATAGCGATATATCTTATTGTCATATTAGACCGTTGTGCACGCACACTTCCTATTAAGCACAAACCTCTCTTAGAAATACGATCGATGAAATTCCACCAGGGACGATCAGACTGAACTGAAGCGCATCGTAAGGACTTCGTAGGACGGCCGCTTTTGTAAAAACCATGAGACAGACGAGTCATTGAGTGCAAAGCTGACCCCCAAAGTCAAGTGTCCCATCGACACGGATCTTTCCGCGGTTATCACCTGGGCGACCTCCTCCCATCAAATCAAGACGTGGGATAACGGGGCCGTGTTTTCTACGGCTGTGCTGGTCCAGGGCGGGAGCCACGGGGAGCTACTGGGTACCTCTGAACTTGCAATCGAATTTAAATGGAAAAGCGGAGACTCTCTGCGATTCCTAAAGAACGTTTCACAGTTTTTGGAGAGCTTGGGCACGTGAATCGACTTGTGCCACCATCATAGGGGTGTTGAATAAAGAGCAAGCATTTCTGAGGAAAATTCAGCGCTCTGATCGAGATGCCCTGTGAGGACAGAACACCCCCGGCATTCCCAAACCTTCGTGGCAAAAATTCATGTAAACGCTCAGCCACCCTAAGGACCGCAGGCTGAAATGCTCGTATTGGGAACGTGTTGCATCGAATGGACGACATTAGTAAAATTAGACGCGTCCATTTGACTTTTTAAAACAGAATTACTTGTGTAAATCACACACGAGGTTCTTTGTACTGGACGGTGCTGCTGTAGATAAATTTTAGGAACGGACGTTACGGAAATCGTCCGGAGCAATCGTCCAGGCACGTTAGGATCGGCAGCGGTGGTCAGGACATTAACGGTGGCAATCATGCAGCCTCGCTCCTGTTTGGCTGTGTCTCTCTCTGATGCCTCATTGTCCCAGACGCTTTCGTAGGCAATTGGGGAGACGAGAAACCCTGCTGACATTGGACTAGAGAGTCAAACCAGCGGAAAACCAACAGAAAACACAGCAAAATAACCCCCCAAACAAAACAAAAACCCTAGGAAATCACTACGTACCGTGAAGGACAGGAAGAAGGAAAATAAGAAAGTGTCATCGGTCACTTTTAAAAAGAGCTTAGGTCGTACTCCTTCGTTTGCACTAAAATTGTAGAGCTCCACTGAAATCAAATCTTTGGACGCCAAGAGAGGCCCCCGGTGCTTCACGTGAGGGGTACCCCTGGCTGACATGCACGGGGCTTACCGTGTTCAGAGTGTTTCTTATCCTGCCTTTTGTCCGTCCTGTGGACCGCGTTCATCGGTTTGTGGATAGTGAACCAATGTCGCATGCCAGGAGTAAAAAGTACTCGACCGTATGAGCTGTGTATTACACCAAACCGCTGAATTCGGTTGGTGAACATTTTGTGGAGGATTTCTGCTGTTCACCTGAATGTCAGCTGTAACTGCTAAGTTTTTAAAAATTAAATAAAAGATGTTTCTTATATTCTGTACATTAGTGGTTGTGTTGTTTCTAAAAGAGATGATACAGTTTCTATACACCATGGCACTAAAACCCATGAAATGAAAGGGTGTTAGCTGCACTTAGGCTGAATATTATTATCCTTTCATACATTACATATTACGTCATTATAGACATTAGTCGTAAACATTTTTCGCAGTTTGATATAGCATTCTGGATCACTGGGACGAATTAAGCCGAAAGGTGTTTTGTACTGAACTATGTAAACTTTCATTTTATGTCACGATTCTTACGGATTTCAACTCTCGTATTAATAATGACGTTTATGCCAATTAATCCCACTTTTTGGAAATGTGCATTATAGATTTCAGAATTAATCTGTAGGTTACATTGAGCTGTAGATTACAAAGTAGAATCTATAGTCTAGTTTCAGAAAGAACCCGAAACACAAATATTCATCTACTGTGTATGTATTCTACCTTTACTTACATAGGATGACACTGAAACTAATTAACTACTTATTCACCAAGTGGACATTTTTTTTTTTGCTTTCTTATTATAAGAAATAAAAAACGAGATAGAATTAAAAAAAAAACTACATAAAGATGATCTCAATATTGTAAACGTATAGTCCCTTCTTGCGAAGATGGTGAATTAAAAAAAAATCAGCTGTACTCACCCAAAAGAAAATAAAGAATGATTAAAAAAAAAATTGTTTTTTCATATAACCTACAAGGATTACAAGCGATGCCCCCGGGAAAACTGGGTGCGCCGTTTTCAGACTGGGTCTCAAGGGCTCGTCTGTCGAGGGAGAAACGGTGGGCGGCGGAGGTGTGGGGTGTGGGAAGGAGGCGCCTTGATGCACGACGGCTGTGTGTATAATTTTGATGAAAAGAAAGACTAACTTCAGATATATCACCTCACAGCTGTGAGACTGGCCGTCATCCAAAGTAGAAGACAGGACCAGGGTCAGCGAGGACGTGAAACGGGCCCCTCGTGGGCTGTTGGAGGGATCGGATTGCAAACTGCAGCAGCCGTGACGGCAAACCGCCTGGCGGTTCCTCCAATCATCAAAGATAAAACGACGTTACGACCCAGCCATTCCGGTTCTGGGTATTTATCCAAAATAATAATAATAACTAATAATAATAATAATAATAAGCAGATCTGCAAGATCACGCTCACTGCGGCGTCGCTGATGACGGCCAGCGTCTGGAAGCAGCCAGAGTGTCCGTCGGTGGACGAGTGGACACAGGAAATGTGACGCATGCAGTGGGCATGACTCAGGCATAAAGAAGTCGGAAATCCGTCACTTGGAACAACACAGGTGACCTCAGAGGACGTTACGTCGGCCGGAGCACAGCGAGGACTGTACACATCATTCCATTCACACTCCACTCACCTGTCCACCAGCTTCTTGGCGAACCCGAAGTCGGTGAGCTTGATGTGGCCGTCTCTATCCAGCAGAATGTTCTCGGGCTTCAAGTCCCTGTAGACGATCTCCTTGGAGTGCAGGTACTCGATGGCACAGATGATCTCGGCCGAGTAAAACAGCCCCGCGTTGCTGGCGAATCGGCCGCGGGCCCGCAGGTAGCTGAAGAGCTCCCCGCCGGGCACGAACTCCATCAGCATGTACAGGAAGCGCTCGTCGTGGCTCGTCCAGAACCTGTGGGGGCGACACGGTGAGGGCCGCGCCGGGGAGGTACGTACGGGCGCAGGTGCGGACAGGTGTGAGGGGACGGGCCTGGATGGACATGAGGCACAGGTACGGACAGGTGTGAGGCTGCGGGTATAGAAGGACATTGACACATCGGTACAGAGAGATGTCGAGATATTCTTCGCTGCACGCATAGTACCGTG